CACTCCATACACAACCACCTTTTATACAGTTATTTTATTGAGCTAATGACTTATATGTGTATTTCTCAAGAGACTCATTAAAAAATTAGCTTAGACTATTTCAAAAGTCCTATAAATATTTGAGGCATATAATTGCTTTAAGTTTCAAATTTATATCCTTTGATATATTTAATACAGTTTTGCTTCTCATTTTATTAGGACACTTTGATTTTTCATTCAGTTTCTCTGTTGCAAAAGAAAAGAGCATAATTATTATGAAACAGGATCTTAGGAACTATTATGAAACAGGATCTTAGGAACTATATGGATGTTTTCCAGGGATCTGAATGAAGGTGAGGTGACGAAGGTTAGACAATGGTAGCTTGAAAGGAACTAGATTTCATGTCCTGTTGTTTTCAAATTTTTAAGGAAATGCAGAAAGAGGAAATGGTTCAGGCTTATGATATCATTAGTGCTATTTTTATTCTCTTAAGTTCAAAGGTTCTAGGGATAAGAACAATATATGTGAAAATGAGGACATTCATCTTTTTTGAGTTTTTATTAGTGTGCTTTCAAGATATCCATTAAAAAAAGAGCACATTTTAACTTTCCAACAAAGAGGTACAGGTAGGCAGGAAGAATAAGGAAATCATATATATGAAATTATGTAGAGATATATGAAATTATAAATATATGTATACATATAATATATGTTAAGATAAATAAAACATTGAAATGTTAATTTTAGGGTGCTAAAAATTCAATCCTTTATGGACATAAACATTTGAAATGGTTTTACTGTTTTAATGAAAAACTATTACCTAAAATTAATTTAAGTAATTGACCCATTTAGACTATACCAGAATTTTTCTGTTAGTTTTTTTTTAATTTTTTTATTGGTTGTTCAAAACATTACAAAGCTCATGATATATCATCTTTCATACATTTGACTCAAGTGGGTTATGAACTCCCATTTTTACCCCAAATAGAAATTGCAGAATCACATCGGTTACACACTCACATTTTTACATAATGGCATATTAGTGACTGTTGTATTCTGCTACCTTTCCTATCCCCTACTATCCCCCCTCTCCTCCCCTCCCATCTTCCCTCTCTACCTCATCTACTGTTGTTCAATTCTCTCCCTTGTTTCCCTCCACTTTCCCTTCACAAGCTCTTATATGTAATTTTGTGTAACATTGAGGGTCTTCTACCATTTCCATACGATTTCCCTTCTCTCTCCCTGTCTCTCCCCCGACTCGTCTCTGTTTAATGTTAATCTTTTCCTCATGCTCTTCCTCCCTGTTCTGTTCTTAGTTGCTCTCTTTATATCAAAGAAGACATTTGGCATTTGTTTTTTAAGGATTGGCTAGCTTC